CATAAAAATAGTCAAAAATTAAATGAAATTAAAAAATATATATGTAGTACATACATACATACAATCTAAAAATTAAAAGAATTTTTGTTCAATTAAGTATATTGGATTTTTAATTTTAGATTCCAAACAACTATTTTTCGATGCAAATATGATTCCCGTTTTCTATCTAAAATAAAACCCCTTTTTCAATTTCAGTGCTACAAAATGTGGTCTACGCTTATGTTCAACTATCACCTGACCACTCACCCAAAACATTTGAGATGTTAAGCAATAATTTATCGCCCTACAGCCAGACATTTCTTTACAGTGGTCATCTGCATAACGACAATGACCTCAACGGCATAGACTTCCAATTGATGAGTGACGACAGCCGAGATAGCTGAAGCGGTTGACAACAGAGGCAACCAAAACAATGACTACGAATGGCAAATAGGAAGTGAAAGAGAAGAAACGGAGAGGCACAAGAATACACAAAAATTTACGAAAAAGATGTAGAAACGACAACGGAAAAGGAATATCTATCAAACCAAATAGTGCAAAAGGATGAAGAACGCTTTGTACAGCATAACCATAAGAGCAAAACAAGCAACAACAATAATAACAATAGCAACAGCAGCAGCAGTAACAATAACAGCAACAACAACAACAATAACAGCAGCAATAAAACCGCAACAAAAAGTAGTCCCGAAAAACAAATAAACCTAGTGAATGACAAAGAAACGATGACAACAAAGTCGAATGCGGGCGTGACGGACAACAACCGCAGATGCGGGTCAAAAATGATTTGGCCAATGTTGGCGGCGGCACAAATGAAACGAACACAATTCGCCGAAGGCAATATCAAAAACTACATCGACAACTGCAACACAAAATACACAACAAGCAAGCTCTATCGCTTGCCGGACGCAACACAATTGCCAGCAGCAGCAATAGCGCCACAACAGTAACAAGCTCGAGGACGAGTGCCGCACAACCATCAGCAAACACAAAACTGTTTCAGCAGCCGATGGCTTTCTCAATCCATTCGGACAATTAGTCGCCTTCTTTGGCAGCGATCAATTGCATCTGCAGGATTATACTTTCTTTTTCAATGCCGAGCGCCATACAGTATTCCAATTGCACACAATACGACACAACAACAACACTAATCAGATTGCTAACAACAATGCTATGCCAACGTCCTTAGTTTCAACAGTGACGGCCAATGGTGGGCGTGTATTGAACGTAGTTGCAGACTCTATCGGTGCAGTGTTTGGTGTAAATACGCCAACGTCAGGCACAACAGCTGCTACGACCGACACAGTTGCTGCAGCTTCTACAGCAGCAGCACGCCAAACCGCCACTCCCTTGCCGACCCCGATCAAAGTCGAAGAGGTGCAGCTATACAATGGGAAATCTTTGCGGCAGTCACGTTTCAATCCTTTCAATCCAACGCGGTAAGTGATGGTCGACAAAAGGGCTTTAAGCAGAAATGAATTATGTGTGTCAGGCGGGCAGTGTCTCGAATTGTTGCAAATGCAGTAGCAATGTTGAAATGTTGAATTGTATAGATGAAATGTGAAATTGAGTTTGAATGTGAGTGGGTATGTGTGGGTGTGGGTGTGTGTGTGTGTGTAATGTATGCAGCAGATTTGCCACATTTTCGAAATTCGATTTGTGCCAATCGTGCTTAGAATGCTGATGGTTTATCGATGTATGTAGTAGTATTTGTGTCATAGGGGCACGAGTTGCTTAGTTAGATTATCTTTAGTCTCTTGACCTGCTCTACGCTTTGGCGCACTATACAGCAGCAGTGTTTGTTGTTATGAATTGCCACGTCATTGCATTTCAAAGGCTTGCCGATTAACAAGCAATGGCGCAGCGAGTCATTTTAGTTGATTTTTTATATACATACATACATTTTTTTGTTTGCTGGATAAGTAATTTGGCAAAGTATAACGTTCTTGGGAATATAGTTGGTCTAATAGAACTTTAAAAATTTGATTTTCAAAGCTAATATCTTGGATATGGAAAACTGATTACCCTGGCAGCAGGACTAAATGGAAGCCTGTGATGGGTAAACTTAAAGGATTTAGTTTCACACATTCTGCACGTCATGCATTCTGTAGTGTCCGACCATCACATGAGTCTCCCATTCTATGCGGTAGCGCATGATAAGGGTAGAGGGAGTGGTTGTTCCTCTTCACTTCTGAAAGACATTTGTGTTCCGGCGCAATGGTGCTGATGCCAACCACATGCAACATAATTTAGAACTATTACATCCGATTTCGGACAGAGAGAGTCGCACTCTTAGCTATGGAAAGGTTGCTCCGAAGGGTGGTGGTGATCTCCCTTTGCTTGGTCCATCGTGGTAGACGAACTACTCTGCCTTCTTAGCGAAAAAGGCTGCAATGTTCAGCTACCGAGACGTCATCCTTATCAGAGATAGGTTTGAAGACACTATCTCCAACCTTTACAGTATGCACTGAACAGAGTCATGAAATGTCAGCAGTGGTAATGGATTAAACTTAAATCTCCTCTAAAGAAAAAAAAAACGACCAACTACCAAAACCAGTAATTCAACTGAGAAAAGATACACTCCTCCAAAGAAGTAAATAGCTAGGAGTGTATCCTTGATGACAAGCTGTCATGGAGTCCGCACCTATCTATGTAGGAAGCTCGATTCAAAGGCAGGGTTCTCTGAACTAAATCAAGGCAAGGTGGATAGTATGATGCCATCTTCAAACCCATTCCGACTTAAGCTACGTCAGCCTGGGATGCAGGTGAAGTACCAGCCACTCAGTAAATGATGCAGAGCAACATGGCGCGATGAGACGAACGCATCCCCTACACATTGCATCCAAGAAAGATGCTCCACTGTTTACTGCACGGCTCCATCTCAGCAAGGGGGAGATCAAGAAGCGCATACACCCTCAGAATCATAGAACAATAGGACGGGCTGCGCATTAGCATTGTGGACATGTACCTTCCTAAATTGAACTTCAAGGTGTTTTCCTCTAACAGAACCAGATGGGGCAACGCACGCCCTAAACCACGCAAGGTCAGCCACATTTGGTATACTGACGGTTCCAATACTGACCACGGCATCGGAGCAGGAATCTACGGCATATGCCCCAGTATGCTTCTCTTCACCAACATGACGCAGGGTAACTCTGTTTTTAAGGCCTAGGAGCATGCCATTGAACTATGCCTCAGGCAGAATATAGAAAATTAACACATCTACAAATACGCGGACAGCAGAGTGGCGCTTCTGGCTCTTAAAGTGCACGAGGTTACCTCAAAGCTAGCATTAAGCTCAATACATATTACTAGGCAAATACTGTCTATTAGACAGTCTAAAGTTTTTCACTCCAGCCAGAAGCACATAACCTAAATGGCCTTCGGTTAAAGGCCCTTGCGAAGTTTCTTAGTAATACGTGGATCAAAGAAGGTCTGTAGTCAAACATAGGTTTGTTAACATAAAACCATTCACGGACGGGGTAACTAGGTGACCTGCTCCCTCCTCTAAATCTAATCGAATCGAATTCAATCCTCAAGACAATGGACTATGTTGTTGTAAGTAGGTGAAGAGGTAAGAGCTTGCATACCTAGCACTTAAGGCCAGGCTTCTAACGAGTTCGAGACTAGATCAGCAATGCAAATTTCACCTGAATTATGTTGGACAGGTAACACCAGAATCCCTGGTAACGAGGCATCTGACTATTTGTCTAGTTAGAGCTCAGGCCAGGTATTCTTTAGTCTGCAACTAGTTATAGCACCCCAACCAATGGTCATCGAAGTTCCCGTCAGAACATAGGGAAATATTTTGCTCAGCAATGACTAGCGTCGCAGATGTTGGACAAAATCATATGTTTCCCTCAATATCCGACAGTCTAGATTTAGACCGTATTCGCTTGTAGAGGCCTTTGCCCGAATTAGGTATGAGACTGTTGGCCGCTATGCATGGATAGTCAAATACCCGAGTCCTGTGACATATAACAATCTGCATCGTCATAGTCAGGGATCCAAAATAACAGTTATTTCATAGATACTAATCTTAAATGATTTAAATATACTTTTCGAAAAAAGTCAAAAATTTATCGTAATTTTTTTACCGGTATTTTATCACTCAAAACTAAAAATTAAATAAAAGTTAAATTTTTTTTTTACTTTTCCCATCAAAACTAAAAGTTATTACTTGATTATTTTCGATAAAAATAAGAGTTAAAATTTAATCGCTATTGTAGTGTAAGTTAGAAAACTTCTGTTGATTTATAAGCCAGATATTAGTCGATTGAGCAATGATACGCAAATAAGCGGTGCAATTAAACAATCGATAGTAAACTGTTACATCTAAACGAAAAATAAAAGTAAAATTTCAACTGTTATTTTTGATTGAAAAAAAAACAGCTAATATTATTTTTGATCGAAAAATTACAAGTTCAATGCTAAACGTTATTTTTGATCGGAAAACAAATGTAAAATATTTACAATTATTTTTGTTCGAAAAATAATAGAGTTTAACGGTTATTTTTGATAGAAAAAATCAAGGCGCAGTGCCACATGTTGNATATTAGTCGATTGAGCAATGATACGCAAATAAGCGGTGCAATTAAACAACCGATAGTAAACTGTTACATCTAAACGAAAAATAAAAGTAAAATTTCAACTGTTATTTTTGATTGACAAAAACAGCTAATATTATTTTTGATCGAAAAATTACAAGTTCAATTCTAAACATTATTTTTGATCGGAAAACAAAAGTCAAATATTGCCAACTATTTTTGTTCGAAAAATAATAGACTTTAACGGTTATTTATGACCGAAAAAATAAAAGTGCAGTACCAACTGTTGTTTTTTTTTTATAGGAAAAATAGCTTTTGACTCTTATTTTTGATTGAAAAAATTTAAGTCATATTTTACCTATTATTTTTGGTCGAAAAATAAAAAAAGGCATTTAACTGCTATTTTTGATTGAAAAAATAAAACTCCAATATTAACTATTATTTTTGATCGAAAAATAAATGTCAAATATTGACTGTTATTTTTGATTGAAAAAATAAAACTCCAATATTAACTATTATTTTTGATCGAAAAATAAATGTCAAATATTGACTGTTATTTTTGATTGAAAAAATAAAACTCCAATATTAACTATTATTTTTGATCGAAAAATAAATGTCAAATATTGACTGTTATTTTTGATTGAAAAAATAAAACTCCAATATTAACTATTATTTTTGATCGAAAAATAAATGTCAAATATTGACTGTTATTTTTGATTGAAAAAATAAAACTCCAATATTAACTATTATTTTTGATCGAAAAATAAATGTCAAATATTGACTGTTATTTTTGATTGAAAAAATTTTAAGTCATATTTTAACAAATATTTTTGATCAGAAAGCNTCAAATATTGACTGTTATTTTTGATTGAAAAAATTTTAAGTCATATTTTATCAAATATTTTTGATCAGAAAGCAAAAAAAAAGACATCAAACTGTTATTATTATTATATTAGGAAAAATAGCTATCAAATATTGACTGTTATTTTTGATTGAAAAAATTTTAAGTCATATTTTATCAAATATTTTTGATCAGAAAGCAAAAAAAAAGACATCAAACTGTTATTATTATTATATTAGGAAAAATAGCTATCAAATATCGACTGTTATTTTTCATCGAAAAATACAAAAAGACATTTAACTGTTATTTTTGATTGAAAAAATAAAATTTAAATGCTGCCCGTTATTTTTATAACGAAATAATAAAATTTAAATATTAGCTGNAAAAAAAGACATCAAACTGTTATTATTATTATATTAGGAAAAATAGCTATGAAATATTGACTGTTATTTTTCATCGAAAAATACAAAAAGACATTTAACTGTTATTTTTGATTGAAAAAATAAAATTCAAATGCTGCCCGTTATTTTTATAACGAGATAATAAAATTTTAATATTAGCTGTTTTTTTAACGAAAAAATAGAGGTCAGTGGTTGACTTTTATTTTTGATAAAAAAAAAAAAAAAATCAATTAATATTTTAGCCGAAAAATTTAAAATTTTTACTCTTAATTTTCGATCGAAAAAATATCGACTTTTTCGAAAAAACCATAAAGGCTCTACTGCTTACTATTAGTTTTTATTAGGGATGTGCGATTGACCGAACAAGCTGACTAATCGAAACCTTATTAATTAATTAATCAAAGATTAATAATTTTTGATTAATCAAAGTGATTAATTTCTCGATTAATTACATTTTGATTAAAAGAAAACTGATTAATCATAACCTGGTTATTCAGAAACCTGAATAATTGCTGCTATGATTTCGGTTTTTTTAATAGAAAAAATTTATAGACATAAAAATGTATGTGTGTGTATGTATATGTACTTTTTTATTTCAAGGAGCAACATAGTAATGTGCTCGCTTGGTATTATATTTTTGTTAATAAGAAAAATATTGTATCTATTACATTATAAACAAATTTCANAATCAAAGATTAATAATTTTTGATTAATCAAAGTGATTAATTTCTCGATTAATTACATTTTGATTAAAAGAAAACTGATTAATCATAACCTGGTTATTCAGAAACCTGAATAATTGCTGCTATGATTTCGGTTTTTTTAATAGAAAAAATTTATAGACATAAAAATGTATGTGTGTGTATGTATATGTACTTTTTTATTTCAAGGAGCAACATAGTAATGTGCTCGCTTGGTATTATATTTTTGTTAATAAGAAAAATATTGTATTACATTATAAACAAATTTCGTTTGCTTTGAAAGCAAACTCGAGAGAAATTAACACATTTACTCAGATTGAAATTCGTTTATGAGTAAACAATAATTACTCAGAGTTTAATTAATCAGGCTTTAGTTCATAAAATTTTTTGATTCATCAAGATTATGACTAATAATTTGATCGATTAATCGCGCATCCCTATTTTTGAATCTAGTTTGCTCATAATTTTCACATTATCTTTAAATTAACCACTACAAGCTTTAATTGTTTTCGCTCTTCCAAACAGAATTCTCATACACGGTTGGCTTGGTGGTGCCAATGCGGGCGTCTATCAAACGCTCGTGCCGGCTTATCTTCGTCAAGGCAGTGGCAATTACAACGTCTTCACCATCGATTGGAGCCGGGGTGCTGTAGCAGACTATCTTACGGCTAGTTATCGCGTCAAACCAGTTGGCAAAGTACTGGCGAAATTCATCGATTTCTTGCAACGTGAAGCGGGCATACGCTATGAGGATTTGTATGTGATCGGCTTCAGTATGGGCGCACACATTGCGGGCATCGCAGGAAAGCACATACAAACCGGCCGTTTGCCGGTAATCTATGCACTCGATCCAGCGCTACCTTTCTTCCGCTACGAGAATTTCGATGAACGCATCGCCATCACCGATGCTGATTATATTGAGGTGGTGCACACGAGTGTCGGCTCGTATGGTTACGATCGGCCGCTGGGTCATGCGGACTACTATGTGAATTACGGCAGCGCGCAACCGGGCTGCTTTCTCAACGAGTGCAGTCACATTCGCGCCTTTCAAATATTCGCCGAGTCATTGCTGACGAAGGAGGCGTTTCGCGCGCAGGGCTGTGATGTGAAGCTATGGCCGGATATGATTAAGCATAGAAGGTGTTTGATGGGTACAGGTAGAGAAATGCTGCTGGGTGGCGATCCAGCGAATGTGACGGCGTTACGCGGACGTGGTGGCGTATTTTACTTGGCGACAAATGCAGGGCCGCCTTATGCGAAGGATGTTACATGAGAGAGAGAGAGCGCAAAAAGGAACGGTGTTTATTTGCTTAATGTACGCTTGATAGAAAATGGCAAGAAAAACAAAAAACAAAAAAAAAAATTTTGAAAAATTAAAAATTGCAATGAGCATAAAAATGCAGTGCGACTATTTTTGTTTTCTTTGTAAATGAATTTTAATTAGTCACTGTGACTTTTCGGCGACTTATGCACACATACACACACACACACACACACACACACAAAAAGCTTTGAAAAGCAGCGCATTTCCATTTTTATAACGAAAAAAAAATCGCATTTGCTTTTACTTTCGCTTATGCGCCTATTTGTATGCAATGAATTCTGTTATGTGTTGCACATTGAAATGGAAATTAAAAAACGCTGCCAAGTGTGAAATTCCTTCACAAAAGCACATTTAACCCCAGTATTCAGCATACGAAGCTGCGCTTTTCATTACGGCTACTATTTTCGCTGTTTTTTTTTTTTTTTTTGTTAACCCATTGCTGTAGATTCTTATGCATTGCAGAAAGTAAAAGCTTGGCGTGATTGTCGAAATGCTTGCATGCCTTGGGAATATGTGGCACGCGTAGTGCATTCACTCTGTGTTACATAGCTGCCAGCCAGCCAGATGTCATGGATGGTGGGAAAAAATTCACTCTGTGAATTTGTTTTTTAAATAGTCAAAAAATATGCGAAATTTATTTAACGAAATTTTTATGTCGACTGTAGAGTTGCCAAGCACTAGAAATCATAAAATATGGTAACAGAGTCTTTAACCATAAGGCGCCTAGTTCCGATTTGCTGTTGCTTAAAGTAAACTCGGATAGTTTCACTTTCGTCATCTCCACCAAAATGATCAAAAAGCGGGATGTCAAGTACTTCAACCGCCTTGCCTGGAGAGTTGGTAATTTACATGGGAAATTAGGGGTAGATTTCTTCTCTTTCTCATCTCAACAATTTATGTAGACGGAATTAGCAACATTGGAGCATTGATGCAATAAAACCTTCTTAACATAATTGTATAGTGTCTCATTTAATTTATTGGCTGAATTAATTTGACTCTTAAGCAGGTGGCAACTATCTTTAAAATGTTTTCAAAACAAAGCTTTCTTATACTTCTTTTGATTAACATTCATATGGTAATACTTTATGTAATTTATGAAAAAAACGTGACTGACTTNTACGCCAAGGTGCCTTTGCCCTATGTCCTTCATCTACATGGCATATCAAACCTCCCAGGTCTATTATACTTAGTCAGACCAAAGATGCCTTGATATTTTGAAAGTCTGAATATCTTACCCCCTCTTTCTTTCTAATATGGAAAAATGAAGATTAATTTATTTTTAAATTATGTATATCAAAAAATAATCTTAATCTTCCGATGATCACGAACCTTGAAAAGGGCGACAATCCTTGAATAAGGTTGCGAGTGTAATTCCACATGTTCGTCAAAATCTATATATTATTGCTTTGTTTTCGTTCGAAACTATATTTCCTAAGGTCTTACAGGCTTCAATTAAACCTATAGTTTCCGCATGGAAGATCTTTACCTGTATTTTTTTCTAAACAAAGAGATTCAGTCACCTCCAGTTTAGCGGAATAGATTTCTGTCCTTGCTGCCCAACCCTCCTCGGATCTACCAGAGGGAGATAGCGTCTGTATAGACCACTTAGTCTTTCCTGCATTCTCTTCTGGCTGGGAATTTTACTTGTATTTTACTGTTGAAGTCAATATTAGCTACTATATAGGCGGTCGTCTTTTCCTATTGCATTTTGCAAAGGCGAAAGGCAATAGGCGAAGCTCGGCAAACGGTTGTAGAGTCAAATAAGAAGAAGAAGTTCACACTACATCCTTCGGCGCACAAAGCCAAACATCGAGTTCCAATACCCAGTGCGCCTCTTGATTTCACCAGCGCCGAGACTCAGGTAGCCATCGGGAAAGCGAAAGCATCGAAAGTCATGACCCGATGAAATATGCCTACTGATGTTGAAAAGGTCCTCAATCTTTCCATGGCCACTCTCAGCATTATGGAGATCTATAAAATAGGGAGAGTGGTCTCACTGCTTAATCCGGGTTGACCGGCCAACATAGTCCTATCGTCCGATAACATTTCTTTCCCCGGTGCGAAGACACTTGATACTTTGCTACTGCCGCACTACACACACCGATTGACCACATCCACATTGAGGCATCCCTTGCACAGCAAGTGCACAGCACAACAATATCACTTAACGTCATAAACCCTCAGATAACTAGTCACCCGAACCGAAACCGCCCCTGTGAGAGAACAGCTCTGGTAGCGTAGGAATTGTCAAAGCCGCTTGACACCGTCAGCTCCTCCACGCTATTAGAAGACATTGAGGCTTCCTCCCTCTCACAGGGACTCAAACGGTGGTCAGCGAGTAACCTGAGTGTTCGAAATTCGTCAGTAATTTTCAGTGACAAAACCAGAAAACCAAGGAAAATTAAACAGTGGGTTCCACAGGGTAATGTACTTTCGCCGCTGCTGTTTACCTTCTATATTTCAAGTCTCCCTCAACCACCAGAGTTAGTCTCTTATGCAAAAACTGCTCGATAATGGCATCTGGGAGTCACCTATCCGAACTTTCTCGCTGTCTTCACTGCAAGGACCCTAACCCTCTCCCCTACAAATTCCTCCCTTTTTACCAGCGGTCAGACTAATTCTCACATATAATTTGGAAAGAAATCATCACTAGTCGGCAACTCTATTCAAATATGGCGATAGCTGTGTCAAACTTTCAGAAATTAGAAATTGCAAGAGGCGGCGAAAAAGGCGAAAGTGTCATACTGACACACTGAAACGGATATGAACACGAAAATGCATATATGCCTGTACATTAGGGTGCCCCACTAAAAAAAAGATGCGGTTTTTTACCATAGTTATAAAATTTATTACATTCGGCTACAGACTGCGATAAAATATTAAAATTTACGTAAGCGGGACCGATTTGAAAATATCTCCAAAAGTCTCGTTATTTTGAATCCGTTGATAAAATTTGTAATTAGTTTTTTGCCGATCTTCTAAGCTTAGGGTCTTTTATCATCTGAAGTGAATTTTTGGAAATTTTTTTTGAAAATTAATTTTACTTAATTTTAAAATTTAATTTAAACTCCATTTTTAGCGATATTTTCAAATCGGTGCAGCTAACGTAAATCCTAATACTTTTCTGAAATACTTGGCGAAAGTCTCAAAATATTATAGATTTTATAATTACGCTGGGAAAAAGTACCAACTTTTTTTTATATGGCGAATGATGCACCCTAATGTATGTACATACATAAATACATATGTACACACATGCATGCATATATAAGTTAGACTATTTGTAGGTAAAAGCGCTGCCATAGATAAGCATTTAGAGCGTCATAACCCGCACATAAACACACGTGCACACTAACATGAGCATTCGCATTCATATGAATTAATAATTCAAAGACTTGCCATTACTGGCATAAATTTGTGTGCAACGCACAGACTGAGGCAGTCATATTAACTCACTCATACGTGCACACAAGCGCAAAAGAGAACAAAACCAACGAGGAGCAAAATTAAAAAAAAAATAGGATTAATTGCAAAAAAATCAGGAAACAAACATTGAATATGAATACGAAAATGAATCCTTTACTACTAACTATTTGTGAGATGCCTGTGGGTTGACTGCATCTCTAAATCAAGTGGGGTTAGCAGGTGGCTTAAAAACTTTGCTTGTCGTTCGGTTCGGTTCAGTTCGGCTAGCTGGTTAGCTAGCAGCTGACTGGATCTATCCACATTGGCTCATATTTGTGACCTATTTTTCGTGTGTACCATTTGCTGGTGCATTGCCTGCTTCTTCGTTTAGCTGAAGTGAGCGAAAGATGTTGCATATTTTCAGGTCACCATATTTAGATATGCATATATATCACATTATACTTGGACATACATACATACATACAATACATTTCCATACAAAATATTTAGTTGTGTCTTAGCATACCCGTACATTTAAACTTATGCAATTAAATCTCAAAAATTCTTGCTGCGCAGTGAACAAATTTTTATTATTTGCTAACAAAATCACATTCACAATCACAGTTAGTAACAAAAACCTCAACATGAGCTGAAGCGCTGTAGGAATAACTACATTCATACATAAACATTAGACAGCATCGCCACATAGAGTAACGGTTTTTAAGGCGGGACGACAAGATTTATTATATTTGAAAATTTCCCCCAAAATATTTCGNGATTTTGTATTTCTCTAAATTACCGTTATATGGGATGTGGGCGTGGTTATTGTCCGATTTTAAAACTTTTCGGCCATTTGGTATGTTGTAGCAGGACCAACAACTGTCCCAAGTTTGGAAGAAATTGGTGGAGACGTTGCCAAGATATACACATGTAACCATAAGTGGGCGTGGCTACGCCCATTTTCCAAAAATTTATAATATT